TCTTAAAATTATCATTTCTAATTTCTCACATTTACGCCGAGACCTCTTATAAAAGGTAACCAAAATGAAGCTAGGCGATTAAACGTATGCGGATTATCTATCGCATAAACGATACATATTACGTTCGCCTTCTTAATTTCTGTTTTCAATTTTTCGCGATTTTCTGATCGAGCTTTTTTTATATAAAAAAAATAATCAAATTTAGAACTAAGGAAATTAAATCAAATTATAATTAAATAATTAATTACCAGACGAATCTACGATATGTGTTGTTACATTCTCGGGAGTAATTTCAGGTGGAATCGTAACTTCAGGCACGACGTGCGGAAGCTATTGAATTATAGAAAAGGAAAAAAAAATTGTACATATTAAATATATAAAGAAAAAGAATCTAATAAAACTTTTACATTGAGATACTTACGTCAGAAACATAAGTTTCCCTGGTAAGAGAAGTTATCAATGTGCTCTTCCCAACACCGTCTTGAATTTCACAAGATCAACAAAAGACAGAGCATAAATAAATTTGAACCCACTTTTTAAATAAAATCGAATCAAACTTACCGTCTCCAACAAGCAAAATTCTTACTTCACGTCGCATCTTTAGACGGTTTTACGCGTCAAAGTAAAAAGGAAAGTATAAAGTTAAGAAATTTTCGTGTTCGATAAGTTTAATAAGATAATATGAACTTTTTTTAAAAAAAATAAATACGAACGAGTTTGACAGGTTCAATCAAGATCATTTAAACTTTATATTTTATTGCATTTTACTACATATCATGTACTTTGTGTGGCTTGTGCTAGAGACACTATTTCTGCTTTCTGATTTGATCATTTGGTATGATCGTGTAACTAAAGATAGTGCGTAGTTATGTTGTGATTTATATAGATTACATTAGCCAATAAAAAATCGTGAATCTTTTTATAAAAAAAGATTATTCAATTTCATTCGATCTTTACCGAAAAATAAATCTCATATGATGTCAGATTTTCTTTTTTTTTTTTATTCTTAGATTTAGTAAAGATCTGTTAATATGAAGCTTTTTATGGAAAAAACTTTTTTTTGACCACCAGTAATCAAAAAGTCGCTAATGGAAGTCGCGAACTTACAATATTTAAAGAAATCAAATCTAAGGTTTCAGGAAACGTTGGTTAAAAGCTAAGTAAACTGATTAAGTCTTATCTTGAATTAATTCGAGTCGCATCTAATGAATCGCCATACAAATTAAATGTATCCTGAAATATATTGTGGATTTTCTTAAGTCACATTGATTAAACTTAATTAAATAAGTTCGAATTTGATTAGTTAATAAGGTTCATATTAAGTGTATTATTATACTTAATTAAAACTTACTAAGTATACTTTTTTTATATGGATAAAGTGAATTTCACTAAAATAATCTTTCTAATAAAAGATCATTTTGATCTTAGTAATAAATATATTTTAATATTTTATTAAATAATTTATTTATATACAAGAAATTTTTATTTGATCAAAAATTTTATATAAAACCTTATTACAGTCAAAACTATAACGAACCTCTTTTTAACAAACACTGGATATAACAAACTCAAATTTTAATAATAGTTCGTTATAAAAAGTGTAATGGTGCATATAGAAAACATAGTAATTTATATAACGAACTTTTTTTTTCTAACGGAGCCGTCAGTTCGTTATAAAGAGTGTTGACTGTATATTTAATCTAGTAGCATCAAAAAAATGTCAATCTAAAGCTAAAAATTTCTAATATAATATCAAAATTTTAATAAATTAGTTTATAATTATGATTCACCTAAAATCTGGTTTTATTTTTATTTTTTTTAATAAACTATCATAAAATTATTTACTACTTTACATTTTAAGAGTTCTATCTATTAAAAATTAAAAAATTATTTTAAATAAATTTAATTAATGATTTATATGTCTTACAATACTTTTTTGAAGTGCTTGTGTAGCCTATCCTAACTATAAATGCATTAGATAGTGGCTTCGTAAATGTTGAAGTTCTTGCATTGTAGAATAATTTTTTATTTTGAATTCATTTGAATCCAATATATGTTTGATAAGAAGAAGTGCAATGAATATCAAATTACAGAATCGATCAGATTTTGACCATTGAAAGAAGATAAGTAAAGAGAAATTGAAAGTAAAGGCTTAGCAAAGATAATGTGAAAAGAAGGTATTGTTTTGTGTAGTTCTTATTATATGCATTTTGTAGAAAATCTATTGAAAAGAGATTTTAAGCAAAAGAAGAATATGAAAAAAATGTAATTATGTCTAGTTTGATGCTTAAACTTTCTGAGATTATCAAGAAAATAGCAAAATTTCTTTATAAAAGAAAGTAGGTGAAGAAAGAAGAACCTATTTATATATTTAATAAATTGTGAAAATTATTAAAAGAGAGAGATCCTGCTTTAAAAAACTTTTTACAGAAACTTTATTTAGTGACTAAACCTTTAAATAAAATAATCAAATAATGAACTACATGAAGAAAATAATGGTTTTCATCTGTTATCTGCTTGCTTTATTAAATAATACTAAAATTAACTCTTTTAAGTTTGATTTAACGTATTATCTAGATTTATCAAAAATAAGTAATGAAGGCTTGAACTAAAGATGACACTGCAACTGGTTATAACTGGTAATAAATAAGCATCACAGGGTTGCAATTAGTTGTAACATTAATAAAATTGAGTTGCAACTAGTTGCAACTGGTGACAAATAAGCATCACATGGTTGCAACTAGTTGCAGCGCCATCTTTAGCCCTGATAGTGCCCATTAAATTATCATGAAGAATTTGTTGATATAAGTTAGCATTTATGATGTCATCAATCTTACAATAACCACAAACACCACGAGATGTAAAACATCCCCATATCATAACTAACCTGCCTTCAAATTTTACTGTAGGTTTAATATGATGGTCTTTTATTGGTTCTCCAGGACACTTCTAGTAATACTGCTTCCCATCAGAACTAAAAATCTTGAATTTTGATTCATCAGACTATATTACTTTTGACCAGTCCTCAACAGTCCAATTTTCATATTTTTTTGTAAAATTATATTGAGATTTTTTATGTTTTTTACTAAGATATGGCATTTTTCTTTTAACCCTTGCTACTAACCCATTATTTTGAAGTACACGACAAATAGTAGATATTGAGAAGTTAAGATTTTCTTTTTCTTGTAATTGGTTTCATACTTCAACAACTGATGAATACCTCTGAGAAGTAATAAGGTTAACAATCCTTCTTTGTGTTGGTTCTTTTACAGTAGGTGGATGACCTATTCTTGCTAAGTCTTCAAGAGAGTGGGTTTCAAGCTATCTTTTTCTAATATGAGAAACTGTAGAAGGTGCAATTTTTTGAGCTTTTGCTACTTCTCTAGTTGTGTATCCATTTTGTAATGAAAGAAGAATTTGTGCCTTTCATTAGAAGTTGTGTGATGCTTTTTTACTGCTACTCGTTTATTAAGTAATTGTGACATATCACGGGACCAAACAATAAATAAAAAAAATAACTTTTTATACAATTTTGATGTAGCACAATAATAATCATCTGATTCATGTCAAAAACAATCAAAAGTAATGCAACGCGTGATTTGTACTAATTGCATATTATTTTATAATC